AAAAAAAAAAAAACAACGCGTAATTATTTTGCCACGTACACGTAACACGTAACTCGAGAGAAAGTATAATAATAACAATAATAATAATAATAACAATTATTATTATTATTATTATTAAAAAAAAATAATCAATAAAGTTCGCACTACGATGATTTTCTACGCATTTTTCGCGTTATTTTGATACGAACACAAATTTTCCGCAATGGGAAACGCGCAGTTTCAAATTCGAGGGATGAAAAAAGAAAGAAAAAGGGCTTGACATTAGGGAAAGGGGGTGTACAATTTGTTTCCAATCGAAACAAAAACAATAGTATATTTGTAAATCGTAATATCGAACGTATCCTATAGCGCTTTTTTCATTTTTTTTCAATCATTCAAATCCTCACACACATCCTCTGCCGTAACTCTCATACATACGTACATACATATTATAAAAAAAAAAAAATAAATAAATAAATAAATAAAAAAGAAGGTTCACCTTTATATTCATACTGAAACAAAATGTGGTTCCTAGAATATCGTATAATTAAAAAAAAAAAAAAAACGAAATAAAAAAACTAATGCATAATATTACTATATGAACACTGACACATCATCATACACACACATATACACATATACATCATAATTATGTTAGCAGCAAGCGATTGACGATCGAGAATTGGTTGAACACGCATAATTGAGTTTCGATCTTTTTCTCTTCGTTTTCAGAGAGAGAAAAAGAAAACGTATACCGGGTGTTTGAAATTTATCCAATAGAAAAACGATGTCAAGTGTTTTAAATTTCTTTGCATAAAATAAATATTATTAATAATAATAATAATACCTGACGTCGTTTTATTTTGGACATAAAAAATCTTCAAAAATTCTGTATATATATTTATGCATTTTATATGGCTAAAAAAAAAAAGAAAAAAAAAAAAAAGAAACAAAAAAAGAAACCTGTCCGCCTGTTATTGTCGTTGAAAAATAAAAAAATAAATAAATAAACTTACACAACTAACGCAAAAATCGCTTATCTCTCTCATATCTATCTATATATATATGTATGTATATGTATATTTATAATATACATACACAAATGAGGAATCCTTGCAATAAAAAAAAAAATTAAAAAATAGGAGACAAATATGGAACAAAAAAAAAACATTTATTATCGGAGAGAAAAGCGATGATAACAAATATATTATACTTCGTTGTAATTATTATTATTATTATTATTATTA